ATTTCCAACCATGAGTCCACTTATAGGCAAGACTCGAGCCTAAACAATGAGGTAATTCTACTCAAATGTGATGAAGGGGCGGGAGGTGGACCGCCAGTGGAGAAAAAAAGGAAAGGAAAAATTCGTGAAATACACAGGAAATACGAGCCTTTTGCTCTACGTTGCGGAGAAGTTCAAAAGGCCGGCAGGGAGATGAGAGATAATGTGAGCGCGGAGAGCGGTAGAGAAATCCGAGAAGAGAGAGCATAGCAGATCAGCATTGCGACGCAGACAAAATATCGAGCGGTGGGCGGAGCGTGTCGCAACAGGTGGAGCGTGTCAAAGTCCTTGGCCCCTAGCGCCTTAGTGACGCATTTGGATGCGGGAACTTGGCGAGCCTGCAGTCGTCAGAGGTAAGCAAACCAGCCCTTTTGGCGTTTCGGCTGGGACCGTATGCTGAATGTTGGGGAGGGGATGGGGTCCCCAACGGTCGACGGTTTACTTCAACTCGGTTGGTACGATAGGAGAGTACTGACGCAAGTGGTGCAGCTGGTCCAGCAGCTCCGCCAGAAGGGCTGGTTTGCTCACCCCAGGACTAAGCCTTGGAGAGGGGACGGACCCGTCCTCTCTTTAAGGCTTAGTTCTGAGGTAAGCACCAAATTGTGGCGGTTCTAAGGACCGAGTTGAAGTGGTCCGTCCACCGTCGGGGACTCCATCCCCTCCCCAACATTCAGCATACGGTCCCAGCCGAAGCGCCAAAAGGGCTGGTTTGCTTACGTCGTTGCGTCCCATGCACTTCTAACCACTTTAAGGTCTTATTGGGTAGGTCTGAGCCCGAACTTTGCCTTTAAAGTAACGAACCTGAAGGAACCGTAGCTTTCTGCAAATATTTACGGGTGCATTGAGCGCGCGCAGCGTTTCAAACAAATGAATAATAATATTTCTTTCACATTTATCGCACTGCTTTTATAAAGTGTGGCTAACAAGGCCATTTTTCTTGGTTGAAAAATACTGTACTGAAAGCAACAACCCCAGCAGAAGTCGTGTCGAAGAATGTACCCTGGGGCTGGGATAGAGTAGTATAGTAGTTCACGATATGATGTGCCGTTGTCGCGGCTCGAAATGCGCGACAGTGGCACTAGTGCCTCACAAAAAGAGCTAATACGGCTAATGTGACTAGTGGACGAGATACATCGCGCACACCCTATAACAAATAACGTTTACAACTTACCATTAGTGGCTTATTCAAACACGCGCGGGTTGATGGCGCCAGCAAGTTCAGGCAACTTGTCCAACGATCCCCTGCTTCATTCCTAAAGGGAACAGGGGAATCCTTGTTAGAGGGATTCATTGGCGATTTGTTCTGCTTCTTCGTTCACTTTCAGTCAACTCGGTATCCATAATTTGATTATGTGACCCCACAAAATTGATCTGAGGTTGCTGCTTTAACATAGTTGGAATAAGACTTGATTATTCTTAATGCTTATTTTGAGGCATGGATGGAAAAGAAATTGGATCATGAACGTGGGCTAGATCATCTAGCCAGAAACAAAGTGCCAGTAATCCAATACCTTCCTCCTTATTTCAAGGATGAAAATATGATGGTAAGCTTTCTTTCCCAAGACATGTTCCTGGTATTACTGTTATGAACCAATTCGCTTCTTTTTTTGAACATCACATTTTTTCAGTGTCCTCCACAGAACGAAGAAGCAAAGCACAAACTCCAGTACACCACTTTCGATCCACTAACTAAGGAAGATAAGAAATGTGCGTTGGGTGCAGTTGTTATTTTAGTTCTTTCATCGTCTCGTTTGGTAGGCTTTTAACAACGTATCGTTTGATAGTCCATGAACGACTCTCCATTAATCTCGGCATGATTATAATCGTCTTCTGCTTCTGCTTTAGCCACCGAGATTGGTATCAACTTTATTCGGCTAACGTTTCGGCGCAATCGCCTTCTTCGGAGCCTGCAAATCAAAGCATATTTTTGAAACAAATTCATTCAAGCACCATTTTGGATCACATGAAGGAAAAACTGAGGGGAAATGAGTCAAGCACGAAGTCGTAACCAGCTAACCTTATTAGAGAGCCGAGCGTTAGGAAGGCACCCTTTGCTTAAGACCGTAAAGCGACTTTTATATGTGCTTCGCACCTTCAGGGTCGGGTCATGTGGCTCAAGGGAACCCCCCAGGATGAGACCCTTTAACACATTGACGACCGCGCGCGTTTTGGCTTTTTTGGCCGTGTGGGACCGGGCCGATTTTGCGAGTGCGACCGCCGCACCTCGGATCCGTGAATTTTTATTGATAACTTTTTAAAGCACCAGTGGTACAAAAACATCTCAGTAACAGTCAATGCGTAGAAGGTAATAGAGTATATAGTGACGAAGTTCCGATTAAAGAACATGTAATGGTAATGAAAAAGGAAACTTTAGTCATTTTATCTGTAGTGGATGCCAAAAGCTCTTTTGATGTGGTTATACCAAGTGAAACATGTATTTTTCTGTCTCTTTAGATTTGCATTTACTTTCACTACCCTTTTTTTATTGACGTGTTCATGAGAATAGCATGAAAACTATTAATGAACCAAGCCGCCGGTTTCGGTGAGCTTGGAAAACTTCTTCTAAACTGGAGCATATTTGAACAAACAATGACCTATGTCGTTCACAATAATGTTATGTTCTAATCCATAGAAGAGAGACAAACAATTCGGGAAAAAGCTGCGCATGCCCTAGAAAAAGGGATGATAAGGGTGAGACGCGGTAACGCGTCTCAATGTCCAACGAGGTGCGCAAAGTGAGACGCGTTACCGCGTCTCAATGTCGTCAATGTGTTAAAAATTAATATTATGATAGATAAGTAGTCTTACAGTGCTTA